TATATATATATAAAGGCTCTTTAAGTCCACCTATGTTCTGGCTCATCAGTTGGAAAGATCATATTAAAAAGCTATAAAGACAATGAACAACTAAAGAAATATGAAAACGAACTGCATTTCAGATAACAGTAATGTATTAATGTTAAATTTCTTGGGCATGACAAATGCATTTTGGTTATATAGGAGAAGATCCTTGGTTCTTAGGAGGAACACACTGATGTGCTTTGGGGTAGAATGAAGTGATGTCTACAACTTTTTCATAGAAAAAGTTTAGAAAAAAAGTAGGGGTAAAGAGAAAAAGAGGCCAAAAAAACAATAAATATAGCACAACTTTAATGAATCTAGGTAAACAGCATACAGGGTTTTATTGTACTATTCTTTAAATTTTTCTGGAGGCAGAAAATTTTCAAAATAATAAAGCAAAAGGAAATAATTAAAAAATAATTATTTGTTTAAAAAAATACTTCATTGATACATTAAGTTGTTCATACAGATAATACTTTAGGCCATGGGAAATGGTCTGATTGCTTTTAAGCTCTAAAATTCTATGGGTCATAGCCACCTGAAGGTTTTCATTACAACACTCCTTTAGGATCACCCCAATTCCTCACTCCTTGATCCACAAAATAAGTGGGTATACAATGCTAACAAGAGTATATTTAATATCTTTTAATATAAAAATGATTTAGCTTTATATGCTAAATAGGTTCTATTGAGAATGCCAATTTTAGTTTTTAAAATACGTGTAACTATGAGCCAATGGAATTTGTTTTCATTTGTGATTCACAAGTTAGCTAACCAGACAACTTCAAAAAAATTAAAATCTGAATAAAGTCAATACTTTTAGCATCATTATATAGCTTTCCACAACAACTTTGAAGAACTCACAGTGCTTCTAAGCAGAGGATCTAGAGCCAGACCGCCCGGGTTCAAATCCCAATTGTGCTTCCACCCGAATAACTAGTTGTTTAACCTCTGTGTGCCTCATCTTTCTCAACAGAAGAGGAATAACATACCTCATAGAGTGTTATGAAACTTAATCAAATTATTTGTAAAGTCCTAAGAACAATGCCAATTACATGAGTCATCAATAAATCAAAAAAAAAAAAAGGGGGGGGACGCCCGGGTGGCTCAGTCGGTTAAGAGTCTGCCTTCGGCTCAGTTCATGATCCCAGGGTCCTGGGATCGAGCCCCATATCACGCTCCTTGCTCAGCGGGGAGCCTGCTTCTCCCTCTGCCTACCACTCCCCCTGCTTGCGTGCTCTCTCTCACTCGCTGACAAACAAATAAATAAATAAATAATTCTTAGCTAGTGTTATTTTTAATTGGACGTAAAGTTATGGAATATTTACATAGGCTTTTAAATAGTAATATCTTACAAGTACTGCCAAATTTTATTTTAATAATCATCTCTAAAGTTCTATTATAATTACTTTGTAATTCACCCATTACTTTTAACTGGTTAAAATTAATTGACTCTGATTTCTCTGTAGAAAGCTTTAAGTCATGCAGAAATTTTTACGAATACTTATTAAGGAACCTTACCTGTGTAAGATTTAGATAAATCAAATAGTAAACTTTACTAGAAAAAAGGTATTTATGGGCTGAACTGTGTACTCTCAAAGTTCTTATAGTTAAGCCCTAATTCCCAGTACCTCAAAATGTGGTTTTGGACATTTGGCCTTTAAAAAATTATAATGGTGTCATTAAAATGAGCCCTAATCCAATATGACTAGTGTCCTTAGAAGAAGAGGAGATTAGGACACAGAAAACACAGACAGAGGAATGACCGTGTAGGACACAGAGAAGGCAGCCATCTACAAGCCACGCAGGGAGGCCTCAGAAGACACCAAACCTGCCAACACCTTGATCTTTTGGACCTCTGGCCTCCAGAATTGTGAGAAAATAAATTTCTGTTGCTGTTGTACTTTGTTACAGTAGCTCTAGCAAACTAATACAGAAAACCATCTCATTTAGTTAATATCTCAATTCAAAGTAGTATTCTGAAGAAATATAGCTTCATTCCATCTAAAATTTGCTGTGTCAGGAATAAATCAACAAAAATATCCCTAAACTTTTTTAAATATATAGAAGTTTTAAAATTCTCTGATAGGACTGATCGCACAGGTTCCAGAAAATAAAACTTAGGGCATAGTACCCACCCAATCTTAATACAGGAAACAATGATCTACAGTTCTGAGACATGCCAACTCTTCTTTTAAAATAATTAAGAAGTACTTACTTCCTTCCTCGAAATAACGGAGATGTTGAGGTCTGTATTGGACTGACATTTCCATATGTCAACTGCTGTAAAGACACAGCTCTTGACAAGCTACCAAAAACACATAAAGAACAGTAGTAATAAACATTTTTACCTTAAAAACAAAAAACCAATTTCATAAAAACTAAATATATTTCACTGATCAAAAGAACACAAGACAATGACATTTTAACTTCAAATGTTTCATTTAAAAAGGGTTTGTGTCAAGTAGAAAACAAAATTTATAAATGATATGGACCAAAGTATCACCATACTTACTCTGTATTCTGAAAGTTGAACTGTGCATCTATAAGCTGCTGGTGTGAATAAAGAGTTGGTGACAAGGCGAAGAAGTTATTATGTTGTTGATGGTTTGGGGTGAAAGGCGGGCGACCCAAAATTGAGTTTGGGAACATGCTCTTGTTCACTAAAAGTGAACATGTATTCTTCTACCTAGAATAGTTTTAAAAAACAAATTATTATATCTTAAAAATACTGAACCCTAACTAGTATCTACTATTTAAAGCAATTAGTTACCAAGTTATGAATTTCATTTGCAAAGTTATTTCAAAAGCTTAAACAGATCTCTAAGTCCCACTACAAGTGGGACTACAGGTGAATACAGTATAAGATATTCTGAGACAACATTCATAAAACCTTTATTACAGTAGATTATTATTTCTATTTTCTTATTAGTTGTGCTTAATTTATAAATTAAACTTTATCATAGACTGTGTATATAGGAAAAAAACAGTGTGTATATATATGTGTGTGTGTGTGTATATATATATATATATAGGGTTCGGTAGTACCCAGTTTTAGGCATCCCCTGGGGGTCTTGGACTATCTCCCCTGAGGATAAGGGGGGGGCTACTGTACAAAGCAATCAGAACCATTTACTGACCCAGGCAAGAGACTAGATATTTATACTTTGCAATGACTGATCCCAAAAGGTTGTAAACTTACAAAGAATAGGTTAAGGTAACAAACTGAAAACAAGTATTAAGTAAAATCAACAAAGTGAAAATAGGATCCCCAGCCCACCTCCCATGAGTCAATAAGAAAACTCAGGGAGCCTGGGTGGCTCAGTTGGTTCGGCTACTGCCTTCGGCTCAGGTCATGATCCTGGAGTCCTGGGATCGAGTTCCGCATCAGGCTCCCTGCTCAGCGGGGAGTCTACTTCTCCCTCTGACCCTCCCCCCTCTCATGTGCTCTCTCTCTCTCTCTCTCATTCTCGCTTTCTCAAATAAATAATAAAATCTAAAAAAAAAAAAAATAAGAAAACTCATCTACAGAATAACTGAGAAAGAAACTATATAATATGGTAACCAAAGAACCTATAATATAGTAACAGTTTTCCACCAAGGAGAAGTTAAGCTTGCTAGCAAACTACAGAGAAGCCTACTACTGAGTTGCCCACCCATACAAACAGAGCTTGCTTTTTGCGATTAGATTTCTAGTACCTCTCATGTAAAATAAACATCCACAGATCACTGTCAGAAAAAAAGATCAAGGAATAAGGGCGCCTGGGTGGCTCAGTTGGTTAAGTGACTGCCTTCGGCTCAGGTCATGATCCTGGAGTCCCGGGATCTAGTCCCACATCGGGCTTCCTGCTCAGCGGGGAGTCTGCTTCTCCCTCTGACCCTCTTCCCTCTCGTGCTTTCTCTCATTCTCTCTCTCTCAAATAAATAAAATCTTTAAAAAAAAAAAGATCAAGGAATAAACAAAAACAATGCCAAGAACAAATTAAAAGTGAAAAAAAATAATTAATTTAAAAAACGCTGTATACATAAAACAAGAATATGCTGTTTTCAGGGCACCTGGGTGGCTCAGTCAGTTGAGCGTCCAACTCTTGATTTCAGCTCAGGTTGTGATCACAGGATCCTGAGATCAAGCCCTGCAACAGCCTCCCCACTCAGCACAGAGTCTGCTTCTCTCTTCCTCTGCCCCTCCCCCTGCTCACACATCTCTCTCTCTCTCTCCAATAAGTAAATAAATCTTAAAAAAAAAAGAATATACTTTTAAAAAGCAAAAAAGGCTCTTGGAAAATACAAAATTGAAAGCAGAAATACTGAGTAAAAACTTAAAAGGTAACACTGAGGAAATCTCTTAGAAGAAAAAGGAAAAATGGGTGAGGGTAGAAAGGAGGCAGGACAGTAAGAGAAAAAATATAAGAGAATCAAATTATATTGTCCAACATGCAACATAACAGAAGTTCCTGTAGAAGAGAGAAAACACAGAGAAGGAAATTATCAAATAAATAACACAAGAAAATGTCCAGGACTGAAGAAAACCAATCCTGAGAATTAAAGGACCTAATGAATACAAAGTCCATTAAAAAAATATATATGCATCAAGGTATGGTCAATTTCAGAATATCAGGAAAAAGAGGCTTATGAAATATTACAGAAGAGGAAAATGTTATAAAAGGGCTGACAATCAAAATGTCTTTAAACTCCCTAATAGCAACAGAGGAAACCATAAGACAATGAAGTCAGTGCCTTCAAGTCTCTGAAGGAAATGCTCTCAAGCAGTAATTCCATACCCAGGTATAATATCAAGGCAAGGTAGAATAAAAACATGTTCAGACATGTAAGGTATCAAAAAACAAAACAAAACCTGGGATCTAGGAAAAGGGAGATCTGCTGTAGGGCAGAGACAAAGTAAATACCCTAGGATGATGGTGAAGGGAAGCTACCAGCTTAAATTAGAGCCAAGACGATAAAGTGTTTCAAGAAGATAGCCAAGGAGAAAAAAACTTAAAAACTTTACTGACAGATTTCCTGATGTATCTGACCACAGAGAGGAGTTCTGCTAACAGAGCAGAAATAATCACAGAAACAGAAAAGTAGCAGGTTAAAAAGAAATTACTAAACAAACAAACAAAACTCAAAAAGTCATATAAAAAAGAAAATATAATCATTACCTATTTGGTCCTCACAATAACACAAACATTAAAAATACTAGTTTAAACAAAAATTATAATAAATTTATTATATGTCATTTATTACATATTATATTTAAGGATTACATACACATTATATACAGTTACATGTTCATATACACCACAATTTAATGATAAGAGAGGGTACATAAAGGTGCTAAGTCCTCATTTTCAGCAGATGTCAATTTTAAAAACTGGCTATAGAAATTTTTTAAGCTTTTTTTTTTTTAGAACAACAGAGGAAAATAACACTTAAGCAGCAAAAAAAAAATGTAGCTGCCTCTGGGTATTGAGACCAGATGGTTGGAAAAATTGGAGCAGGAGAAAATAGGAGAGAAAAAGACAAAGATCTGGGAAGAAACTAATAAATCACTCATACAAATTTTGTTCTTTTTTTTTTTTTTCAATTTTGTAAAATTTAAATTCCCAAGGCTGGCCAAAGATAATGAGATTCACCAGTCCAGGCTTCATAATGGATTGTGAACAAGAGTCTTGGGCCACCATCAGATCTTATCCCAAGTGCCCAACTCCCTAATGTGAATGAGAGACAAGGTGTTACCTCCAGAAAACAAGAATTTACCAACTCTTTTCAAAGGTCTGTATCTCTTATTATAGATTTAAAAAAAAAAATCAATCCTATCATAATTGCTAAGCTGTACTGATTTTCACTGCTCAGAAGAAATGGAAATTATCTTGAACCAAGCAGGATTCCAGACAATCCTTTATTAAAAGTACACTCAATCACAGAAAGCAAGATTAAAGACAAGCAACTAAAGACTTGCTCTACCTTTTGCCCAGGTTCATGCTCTTTTCTTTCTTGGCCTTCTTTATTCTGCTTCCCTGTCCCAAACTCCCATAAACATAATTCCTATCATAAGATTCATGAGAAAATGACATTAAATATAATTCATCATAATGAATTTTTCTTGGTATTTCATTTTGTTGGAATACAGATACTATAGATCCGATCAAACAAGGGAAGGAATTTATATTCAGAAAAGCTAAAATTAAAATGTCCTATTTTCAGATTTATTTAAATCAGTTCATAGTTAAAATTTGAGACACTTTGTTTACATCTATAAATTATATGCTTGTGTTTTTCCTCTGGACCCAAATAAAGTCCCATACACATGCACTCAGACTTGAAGACCCCAAACGATATGACAGCCCAGACTTCACCTTATTTCTATCCCAAGACATGTTAAGATCCAAACTAGGAATAAGTCAAAAGATGTCTTGTGGCCCAGTAGTACTCAACAAAGCTAATGACCAAATTATCCAAGGCTTAAGAGCTTACAATGATTACTTAGCCAAGTTTACCTTAGGGCAGGTATCTAGTTCAGCCTATCCCAAATTCCCAGATAAGCATCAAAGCTTTTGCAATCCCTCCACAATAAAGTATCTGTCAGGTTCTCCTCATTATGAATCTTGGCCCTCAAGTCTAGCTCTTAACTAGGCCAGCCCTCACAGTAAGATCATTCCTATGGGAATGGCATTCAGTGCCCCACAACATAGGCATCCTGCATGACGATGAGGAAGTAAAACAAAAGTCTATGAATTTCAGTTCTTCTTTCTAATATTTTTTCTAATACCTTTCAACAGTGATATTGATGAAGATAAGAATCTAAAATAATCCAAAAAAAAGTAAAATAATCCAAAAATAATAATCTATCATAAACAATACAAGGGATCATCTTTTAAACAGAATATAGAGTTCTATATTTTTTTTAAGATTTTATTTATTTATCTGTCTGAGAGAGAGAGCACAAGCAGGGGGGAGCGGCAGAGGGAGAAGCAGGCAAGCAATGAGCCCGATGCGAGACTCGATCCCAGGACCCCGGGATCATGACCCCAGCCAAAGGCAGACGCTTAACTGACTGAGCCACCCAGGCGTCCCCAGAATATAGAGTTTTAGAGTATAAAATCCAGCAAACCTATTACCACTGCAGCATTAAGGAGACATCTATCAAATTTTAAATATTTTTCTTTATATTCCAAATGAAAGGCTTCTTCACTAAGTCTACTTGATGATCTACATAAAACACTATTCCACATTAACTGTGGTAGCAGGTATAAGAATTGCATGATAGGGCGCTTGGGTGGCTCAGATGGTTGGGCGTCTGCCTTCGGCTCAGGTCATGATCCCAGGGTCCTGGGACCGAGCATAAATAAAATCTTTAAAAAAAAAAAAAAGAATTGCATGATAAATAAATACAATCCAGATACTGGTGATATCCCATTTTTCTTAGCTTGAAAGTTACCGGTTTCTCAATATGTACATGACTATAAAATAGGATAATCTAGGAACTTTTGGTGTGTTTTAAAACTGCTGCACTGGTTCTTGTCTTAGAAAAAAATCTTAAAAGTTGCTTCTTGACTAAGGTTGACACAGTGGGATATTATACAGTTTATTTGTAAATAATCATACAAGAGAGACAAGGCTGTATAAGGGTAGTTTGCAAAGTAATTCCTACTGATACAGTATTTGCTCCTGTAACTCACAACCTGGAATTTCTGTCCTAAACCTGATCTCTCCTCCAACCAATTAAGAGAACTTTCAAGATTATATAATTCCTTCAACAGGATTTCCTGGAAAGCAGAATCTCCCTAGGATAAAAGCCAAAAGACAGAACTGTGGCAACTAAATCAAGTTATCTGTCCACTTTGTCCAAATGCCTTTGATATCCTAAACTCACTTCTTTTCTCCACCATCCAAAAAGCCCAATTCTTAAATCCTGCTCATCCACTGTCAAAACTACCTGAAGGTTTTGAAAAGGACATTCCTTTTTATTAAGAATTAGAGTCCATCCAAGAGTTAAAAAATAATGTCATGTGGTTTGAAATGGACATTTCTTAAATGATTGATAAATAGCCTGTTTCACATAAAGCCTATATTATGGAGCATTTCCAGATTAGACATAATTGGGGTTAACATACCAACAAAATAATATTACCATTATTGGCTAGCTACTATGAGCCTTTTGGCTGTACATATTAAAAACCTGTAGTAAAACACCATACAAGGCAGTATTTACAAAAATAGTATGTTACCGGTAATACAAACACAGATTTAGTGTTCAGTTATGATCTTTCCTCACAAAATCACATACCACATATCTGTTAACAAGTTCCGATTTAGCTTGAGTTTTAGTTTCTCTTTGTTTCCTACTGGTATCCGCAATCTAAATAAAGAACTACTATTTTAAACAAAGAGATAAAAGAAAGAAAACAAGACGGGGTATTTGGATATTCCAGATATTATGAGACACATAAACCCCATCGTGTTCTGGCCTAAAGAGACGAGGAGTCTAACTACAAAAGCTTAACGGGAAGAAAAGGGTACAACAATCTGACACAGTCCTGAACTGTGCACTTTACTGTAAAATGAAGAACTGAAGCCCATTTAATAAAAAGTCTTAAATTTTAAATTATTAATCCAGATATTTACCTTAGTTTTTCACCACCCTTTGAAACACCATGCAGGGGTCCCAAGACAGTCTTCCTCTTATGGTCCTAGACTGAGAACCGGGCGCGAGGAAGGGAAACGAGTGGAAAAAGTAAGCGGTCCTAAGATTCTTCAAAAAGTGCTGCAGCTTGGGGGCCGCCCATAAGTCTGGGACGTCTAAGAAATATTGCCGGAACTTCCCACGCAAACATAACAGTGAGGTTTCGGGAAAAGTTCCCCGAGCCCCGCCCCCGACCTGGGCCTACACGGTTGCGTCCTTTTCCGAAACCCCCCTAACTCACAGGTGTCCTTGGGGAAGGGCTAAGCAGGGCCTACCGGCACTGCTCGCCCAGGAGCTCCAAGGCCCGAGCAGCGAGGGTCCGGCGCGCGCGGTTGTAGCTTTCGCCCCAGCCAAAGCAGGTAGTGGCCTGCGGAAGGGCTAGGCCTGGCTCCGGATCCCGATTGCAATCTAAACCCCGGGCTCGGCGGCCGGGGAGGAGCGACACAAGAAAAGACAGGGCTAGCAAGCGTGCGGAAGGCTCGGGGCGGTAGCAAGAAGCGGAAGACCAAAAATTCGCCGAAAAAACGGCGTAGAAAACCCTGTCAGGAACACCCGGAAGACCTCCACGACCCCGGATGGGAAGAGCGAGCAGGGAGCGAGAGGTCACACTTCCGGCAGCCGCCTCGCCCCCTCCAGCGAGCATTTTGCTTGAGTGCGCAGGCGCACACTGCTGCAGTCCCGGTTTGGCCGGAGGTGGACGCCCAGCGCCAGTGAGCGCGAGTGGGAAAAGAGATGATGGGACATCTGTGAGACAGGGAAGACTGGGCGTTCGGCAGAGGCCCGGTCGCGGAGGGCTCCTCTGGGCTACCACCTGATATGACGCACAGCGGCTCTTTTTCTGATACGCATATTTTAACGGCTTTTTCTTGTCTCAGCTGAATGACTCCTCCCCGGAGAAGCTTTCCCTGACCCAGTTTTCCCTCGCTCCTCAGCACCGGATCTGTATTAAGCTTTGTTTTTTTTTTACCCCTCCAGTAAAATGAAAGCCGCTTGGGGTTAAAAATGCCTTGTCTCTGAAGCCTGGACTCAGCCCCTTGCTTTTAATAATATCTTAACATTCCCGAATTCAACAAATATTTAATATTTGTTCTGGAGTGAGCTTTAATGGTTATGAAAATATCTTAAGTTGTTGGGATTTGTTAATGTCAATCTTTTAACAGTATTATTTTCCTTTTAATACCTACAGAAGAATTTCTCATTTCTGAAATTGGTAATTTGTGTCATCTTTATTTTTTCCTGATCGTTCTGGCGAGAGGCTTATCAACTTTACTGATCTCAAATCCCTCAAAGCACTCTTGCTTTCATAGGTTTTCTTTATTGTTTTTGTTTCCTATTTCATTGATTTCTGCTCTTAGGTTTATTTCCTCTCTTCTACTTTTTTTTCCTTAATTTTCAAAGTGTTTTTTCATTATTTGCTAGTTTTTTAACTTAGAAACTGAGATCACTGATTATAGACGTTTCTTCTTTTGTAATATAGGCATTGGGTGGGATGTGTCCCTCAGAGTATTTCTTTACATCTTACACATTTTATTTTCTTAAAGATTTTTTATTTATTTATTAGAGAGAGAGCGCGCGGGGGCGCGCGCGCATGAGGGGGGCAGGGTCAGAGGGAGAAGCAGACTCCCTGCTGAGCAGGAGCCTGAGGCGGGACTCCATCCTGGGACTCTAAGATCATGACCTGAGCCGAAGGCAGTCGGTTAACCAACTGAGCCACCCAGGCGCCCCACCTCACACATTTTAATAATATGTTTTCATTTTCCTTCATTTCAAAATACTTTCTAATTTCGCCAGAGAGTTTTTCTTTTTGAGCCATGGGTTAGTGTGTTACCTAGTCTACAAAAATTGAATTTTCCAGACATCTTCCTGTCGCTGATTTCTAATTTAATTCCATTATAATCAGATAATCAGATAACATACTTTGCATAATTTGAATCATTTTCAATTTATTGAGACTTATTCTGTGACCCAGAGTATGGTCTATCTTGATAAATATTCAGTATGCGTTTAAGATGAATGTGTATTCGACAGTTGTTGGGTGAAATGTTCTATAAACATCAATCACATCAAGTTTGTTGATATTGTCCAAATCTTCTAAATCCTGGGGGACTTAAAATATACTGATTTTCTGTCCACTTATCCTATTAAGTATTAAGAGAGAAGTATTGAACTAACTGTAATTATGGATTTTTTTTTTTAAGATTTTATTTATTTGAGAGAGAGAGAGAGCAGAAGCAGGAGGAGCAGCAGGCAGGGGAGAGGGAGAAGCAGGCTCCCCACTGAGCGGGGAGCGTGATGTGGGGCTTGATCCCAGGACCCTGGGATCATAACCTGAGCCGAAGGCAGACGCTTAACGACTGAGCCACCCAGGCGCCCCTAATTATGGATTCTTCTAATTCTGCTTGTTCTATCAGTTTTGCTTCATGTATTTTGAACTCTGCTGTTAGTTGCATAAACTTTCTTGCATTTATAATTTTTGTTATTTAGATGAATTTATCCATAATGAAACTGACTATGAAAAGTATTTTATCATTATGAAATGATCCATTTTATAAATGATCCACTTTATAAAACCTCTTTTCTCTTGGTAATACTTTTTGCTCTAAAGTGTACTTTGAAAAAAAAAAATGCACTTTGTCTGATGGCAATATAGCCACTGAGCTTTCTTGTTTGTAGTGTTGACAAGATATATATATATATATATATATTTTTTTTTAAAGACTATTTGAGAGAGAGAGCATCCACACGCATGCATGGGAGCAGAGGGAGGGGCAGAGGAAGAGGGAGAGAATCACAAGCCGACTTCACGCTGAGCATGGAACAAACCTGGGGCTGGATCTCATGACCGTGAGATCATGACAGCCAAACCAAGAATCACACGCTTAACTAACTGAGCCATCCTGGTGCCCCACGTGTTTGTGTTTTCTTAAATTTATCTCAGCATATTTAATATTTTCAGTGTACAACTTGAATATCTTTTATCAAAGTTATCCTGATCTATTTCATATTTTTGATGCTATTTTAAATGGTATTTTAAATTTCAATTTCAGACTGTGCATTGTTAGTAGAAGACAAATACAACTGACTTCCATATATTGATTTTTATATCCTGTAGTCTTGATGATGGTCTTGAGTCCGCTTGGAGGGGAGTCTGCTTGAGGATTCGTCCCTCTGCCCCTCCCCCACTCGTAAATGTGCAAGCACACTCTAAAATAAATAAATCTTTTAAAAAAAAGACACAAACAGAAAATATACCATGTTCATGGTTCAGAAGACTCAAAACTGTAAAAATGTCAATTCTCCCACAAATTAATCTTTAGATTCAAAACAATCCCAATCCAAAATCCCAGCAGGCTTTTTTTTTAGTAATTGACAAAAGGATTCTAAAATTTATATGGAGATGCAAAGGACCTAGAACAACCAAAATAACTTTGAGACTGAAGAACAAACTTGAAGAAATTACACTACACTACCTGATTTCAATATTTGCTATAAAGCCACATTAAGCCAGGTAGTATAGTATTGGTGTAAAGAGAGAAAAAAAAGATTGACAAAACTGAATAGAGAGTTTTTTAAAAGTGCCAAGGTTGTTCAACAAAGGACATAGGCAATTCAGTGGAGAAAGGAAAGATTTTTCACTAATAATGCTGAAACATTTGGGTATTCATAGGCATGAATGAATGAATGAATGAATGAATGAAAACGCAAAATGGATCATAGATCTAAACATAAAACTTAAAACTTCTAGAAGAAAATGAAAAAATATCTGTGACCTTAGCCTAGACCAAAATTTCTTGGGTCTGATACCTAAAGTACTATCCTTAAAAGAAAAAGTAATAAATTGAACTTAATCAAAATTAAGTATTTCTTTTCAGGTAACTAAGAAAATGAAAAGAATAGCCAAAAACTGAAGAAAGTATTTGCAAATCACATATCTAATAAAGAACTTATATCCAGAAAATATACTTTTTAAATCTCTCATACCTCAATAAACAGAGAAAAACACACACACACACACAAAATCAAAACCCAAAAACTCTCAAACCTCAACAGGAAGAAATTAAACAACCCAGTAGACAAATGGGCATAAAGTTTGAATAGACACTTCACCAAAGTCATATGAATGGAAAATAAGCACATGAAAAGATACTCAACATTATGAGTCATTAGAGAAAATACAAATTAAAACCACAATGAAATATCACTACCTACCTACTTAATGGTAAAATTAGAAAGACTAGCCATACCAACTGTTGTTGAGAATGTGGAGGGATTGGAATTCTCATAACCATGAGATGCCTGGGTGGCTCAGTCTGTTAAGCATCTGCCTTCAGCTCAGGTCATGATCACAGTCTTGGGGTTGAGTTCCACATCGAAGCCTGCTTCTCCCTCTGCCTGCCGCTCCCCCTGCTTGTGCAAACACGCTTGCTCTCTCTCTCTGACAAATAAATAAATAAAATCTTAAAAAAAGATTTTATTTATTTATTTGAGCAAGAGAGAATGAGAGACAGAGAGCATGAGAGGGAAGGGGGTCAGAGGGAGAAGCAGACCCCCCGCTGAGCAGGGAGCCTGATGTGGGACTCAATCCTGGGACTCCAGGATCATGACCTGAGCCAAAGGCAGTCGCTTAACCAACTGAGCCACCCAGGCGCCCCCAAAATAATAATTTTTTTTAAAAAAAGGAACTCTCATAACCACTGATGGGAATGTGAAATGGTACAACCTCTTTGGAAAACGCTTTGGCAATTTCTTAAAAAGTTAAACATATATTTACATGTGACCCAGACATTACACTCCTAGGTACTTATCCAAAAGAAATGAAAGCATAGGGGTACCTGGGTGGCTCAGTTGGTGAAGTCTTCAGCTCAGGTCATGATCCCAGGGTCCTGAAATAGAGCCCCACATCTGGGCTCCCTGCTCAGTGGGGAGTCTGCTTCTCCCTCTCCTTCTGTCTGCTGCTCCCCTTGCCTGTGCTCTCTCTCTCTCTCTGTCAAATGAATAAATAAAAATCGTTAAAAAAAAAAATGAAAGCATATGTTTACCCAAAGACTTGTACACAAATGTTCATAGCAATTGTGTTCATAATAGGCAAAAACTGGAAACAACAAAAATGTCTGTCAACAGGGAAATGAATAAACAATTCACGATATATCGATACAATAGAATATTACTCAGAATAAAAAGAAATTAACTATTGATATAATGCAACATGGATTAATCTCAAAATAACCATGATCAGTGACAGAAATTGGGCAAAAAATAGTCCATACTATATGATCCCATTTATATGAAATTCTAGGACATGAAAACTAATCTTTAGGGAGGAAAAAGAAGTCAGTGGTAGTCTGGAAAACGGAAATTGGGGAGGAGGGCTGAGAGGGGCTGAAGGGAGTGATTGCAAAGGAGTACAAGAAAACTGTCAGGAGCTATACTCATGTTAATTATCTTGATTGTTGTAACGGTTTCATGTGTGTATTCATGCATAAAAATGCACAGCTTATTATGAGTCAATTATACCTCAGACAAGCTATTAAAATTTTTTTAAAGAAGAAAAATCTATTGGTCCATGTCGCACTTTGAGTGAA